AAAGAGAATGAGAGAGAGAGAGACAGAGAGAGAGACTCAGACAGAGAGAGACAAAGAGAGAGAAGAAAGAGAATATGAGAGAGAGAGAGACAGAGAGAGAAAAAGAGAGACAGAGAGACAGAGAGAGAGAGAGGAACGCAAGTACGGACACAGGCTCACATACTGCAGTTACGGCATACGGCAGTTACGGCATACGGCAGTTACGGATATCGGGTTAGCTACTCAAACATCTGTGCGCTGCATACTTAGACTAGAACAATAATTATTAGATAACAGCTGATCTGAAACTACCTCAACAAGCGCAACTTCACGGGAAGAAAAAACGAACACGCCAATATTGGCAATAACACAACTCGCTGCTTTCCTCCTCTCCATTCACCGATCTCTATAAATAACTCTCTCTAAGTAACTGATCTCTATAAATAAGTTATTTATAGAGATCAGTGTCTCCATCGCGGCAAATACGTGACGTCACGTGGCCGCCATGTTGGTCGGTGAAAGCGCGCAGCTATCAACAGTGACTCACAATGAGGGAATTGGACATTGTTCCAACCTACGCTGTTACATCAGCGAGCGTGAAACCGAGTGACCGAATGGCGGCCATAGAGCCGCGAGAGCATATGGTTGGCCATCGTACTAAGAAATAATTATTGTTACCACGGTTAAATTATAGGCCTTTTACCTGGGCCAATCAGAGGCCTTGTTACACGTAATTTAACCGTGGGTGTAACAAGGCCTCCGATTGGGTAAAAAAATGGCAATAATTAAACCGCAGTTGAATTATTTCTACCGCGGTAAAAATAGTTATTTCTGAGTACGATCGCCAACCATAAGCTCATCGGTTACCATCCTATGTCATAGGTCAACACGCAATCTAGTAATAACACATATACATATCAGTGACTGACACACACTGGTCGCGACTTCTACTTTCGCCCGAAGCCAAAACATGCAAAAAACAAAACGCAATAAAAAGTGATGATAATCACACAATGAACATCAGAAACGAGGATATACAACGAACAACGAGAACTCAACGAAATTGCAAACGTCCGTAAATGTAGTATTAGCAGGAGTTTCAAAATATCAGGAGTAGATAATAGGAAACTTCCCTATTATCTACTCCTGAAAATATGTATCTATTTCATGACACTCCTTGTATTAGTGACGCGTATCGCAGTAGAGAATTGTACAAGCCGTGCGCGTGTAAACTCATCCGTGTAACCGATTCGATTCGCGAGTTGGAAAAAGAGACACTCCGGAGCAGAAGACCTTATCCGATGTGTCCGGCACTTTCTACCCAGTCCGCTCTCTGACATTCTATCAGCCATTCACAGTTGGAAGAGGAGTCTGCCCAATTTTGCGGTGGACTTCCTTTACCGGGAGAGAAGATCTGACGCAAATCGAACCGGCTATTGGAGGATGTATCTCCAGACCTTACATTAAGACGTATCTATATTATTACACTTCTGCTTACATATCACATTCCATCTCTGAGTGCAGTTATACCGCACAGGTGCGTTATAATTCCACATAAACAGCCACGTCTGACCCAAGTCTAGCAAACAGGATCGCGTAATGACAGCCAAACCTGCGTACAAGGGCCACTCAACGCCAAATGTGTCCTTTATATAGATAGGTGTCCGTTCTATAGAAGTGGCTGCTAACACAGGTTTGTCCCAAAAGTGGCCTTTATATACAGGTGGCCGTTCTATAGAGGTGGCCGTTCTATAGAGGTGGTCTCCCAGTATATATGCCACTCAGTGCTAATGCTGAAACTGACCTTTATACACAGGTAACCTCTTTATAGAGGTGTCCGCTATCACAGATCTGACTGTATATGATCGGCTAACAATGAACATTGAGCTCATGGAATGTTCGCTTAATCGATTAATACTGAGATTGCATTAAAGAAGGAAAAATCACGCGAATACAAGTCGAGCATTATGTTAATGACGGTTATTTGTGCAACTTTAGTCGTGTAGGCACGAGATCAAACGATGATGACGACGATGATGATGACAATGAAGATGGCAAGAAGATTGATGACAGCAATGACAATGACGATCACGATGACAATACCAGTGACGTTCGTGACAGTGGTGATGACAAAAATGGCAATGCAAAGCACGAAAATCGCCTGGTAACCATAGCAACACTGGATGCAAGGCAAGTAAGGCAATGGCAACCTCCCCCCACACCTCCCAATAACTAGTCTCAATAAATAACAACTTCAAGCATCAACTTCTGCCTCGAAACGAGACAGTGGCGCCATCTGCCCGTGATAAATGACTGCACACGACGCGATTGTATGTCGGGTGGCGCCATCTACAGGTGGTCAGGAGAGATCTTCGGCAAAGTCTTGTTCTATGAGGCTGTCTATGTAGAGTCGGGCCGCGCCTGGCCGGATGCCGGTCTCACCGTCCTCAGGCGCCGAACCCTGGACGACCGGTAGCGATCGTGGGCGGGAGACGGCTGCAAGGAGGCAGTGAGAACGAGACCGCGCGTTAATTCACAAACGTACACGAGTGTGTGTTATACCGATGTATGCGCTCACGGACTGCAACGTAAAGTTAACCTGTATGTGTACGTGCTGTGTGTGCGCCTCACGTGTGTGCGTGTGTGTGTGTGCATGCGTGCGTGCGTGCGTGCGAGTGTGTGTGTGTGTGCATGCGAGTGTGTGTGTGTGCGCCTCACGTGTGTGCGTGTGTGTGTGTGTGTGTGTGTGTGTGTGCGAGTGTGTGTGTGTGCGTGCGTGCGTGCGCGTGTGTGTGTGCATGCGTGCGTGTGTGTGGCGTGGTGCGTGTGCATGCGTGGAGTGGTGTGTGTGTGCCGTGCGTTGATGTGTGTGTGTCTGCGTGGTGTGTGTGTGTGTGGTGTGTGTGTGTGTGTGATTGGTGTGTGGATGCATTGTGTGTGAGTGCCGTGGTTGTGTGGTGCCATTACGTGGGGCGTATGCGGCGGTGTGGATGCGTGCGAGTGTGTGTGTGTGCGTGCGTGCTGTGTGTGTGTAATGCGTGCGTGTGTGTGTGTTGCGTGCTGTGCGTGAGTGTGTTGTGTGTGTGTGCGTGCCGGTGTGCGTGCGTAGCGTGCGAGTGTGTGTGATCGTGCGTGGATGTGCAGTGTGTGTGATGCGTGCGGCGAGTGGTGTGTGTGTGTGTGTGGCGTGCGTGGGTGTGCATGCGTGGCCTGGTCCACCGACTTCAACTCTAGCAGTCAACTCTACATCAGGGTACCCAAGGAACACCAACCTGGGTCTTTAAACAGGTGAGGGCTCTTACAGAGTGTGAACCGGCTAACGAAATTGAGCGGCGGCAGCTCCGGAGCGCGCGATCGGTGCTCCTGGTAGCGTCTCCGATAGGCTGGCATCGCGATGGTACGCGCTCGCTGATTGGTCAACGTTTGGCAGATGGGTTGAAGAAACTTGCAGGTCGTGAAGCCGAAGGTGCGCGTCGGGCGCGTGAGGACGGGGTGCCGCGGGCGCCCTGGAGCGGGCCTCGCTCAGTTTCTGGACCTGTAAAAAGGGGCAGTTTTACGAGAGTGTTTATTCGTCTGTTAACACATGCGAACACATGGGGTAGTAGATATATTTTTTCCGCGGGGGGGGGGGGGGGAACTGGAGGGGCTTGAACTTTTCCGTGGGGGGGCACAATATTTTTTTTTGTATTATACTGTTTCGGCATTGTTTTTGATTATATTTTTTTTATCAGCATGATTTTTAGTGTGGGGCAAACATGGGGGGGGGCACAGAAATTTGAATACAGGCCCGTAGCTACGCCCTAGGAGCAACATGATAAAGGGTAACGCTAGTGGTTTCAGTGGAGGAACTACTTAGTTTGAACACACGATAATAATGACGAACGACCGTGGAACACGGTGACAACCGTCATCGAATACTGCACAGATGACACGGAACCCGCAATATCCGAACGAAATGCTGCTGCTGTCATGGAACCAGGAAAAATTCCACAGAATACCATATGTGGCAACGAGAATTGTTATTGTGCAATAGCAGGGGAGATGACGCAACGCAGTACAGGGATTACGATGACGTAGGATGAGTCATATACATACATACATATATTATTTATATCTATCATTATATATACATATATATATATATATATATAGCCACGTGCGCTTCGTGCATGCATGCGTGCATGTGCACATGTGCGCATACATGCATGAATGTATGTGTGTGTCCTGCTTAAGTAGGGTATGAATACGGCGGGGTCTGGGGTACGGGATATGGATATGGATATGGGTAGGGTATGTGTGTGCGTGCGTGCGTGCGTTGGTGGTGTGTACTGGGTGATGGATGCTTACTTTGCTGTTGAGTAGGTGTGCGATCCTCAGGCAGTGAGGCTCAAACTCTGGTGTCTTCTGATACTTGCGTTCTGTCGTCTGCTCCCCAACAAACGTCATTGTACGCTGAGGGCATACTAAGGTTGGGGATGGTACCCACAAGCACGTGCACGGGATGCATACAAACAGCGCCACCGACCCACGAAAACGCACATACTATACTTAGAATCTAACTTGAACCCTAGAGATTATGTTCCTGGCCATGCGTGCAAAATGCATTCAAACCACGAACACGCAACATTTATCACTATATAGAACCTTGGACCCTAAGAAGATTCTCCGTGGCAGATGGCAGCACGCATGCACGAAGATGCACGGACGTAGCACAGAATGTAGACTACGCTACTAAAATGTCCGCTTGCACCTGCGTCGTACAGACATGTAATCATAATTATGAGTGAATACATTTAATGTTACATCCTGAATTTAACCCAACTCTAACGTTAATGCTGAACCTAAATTTGCCTAATAATGTTGCCCTACGTGTCTCTACCTAGCTGACCTAACGGCTGTCTCTACCTAAACAAAATCTAATCCTGTAAGCCTTGCCTCAGCTTAACCCCACTAGTCGATAAAACGGAAACCCAAGTACCCAAGCGTAACCTTAATGTTAAAGTGTGGCCAGCGGGGATGCGCACAAGCACGGGCATATCACAATGAACGACGCACGCTGCGAGCACGCACGCACGCCACGCAGCACGCAGCAGGCACGACCACACAACTAACCTTAGACTCCAACTCAACCCCAACCCTAACCTTAGACCCAACCCAACCCCAACCCCAACCATAACCATAACCTTAACTGTAACATTAACCCTAACCCTAATCCCAACCCTATCCCTAACCCTCACCCTCACTTTAACCCAAACCCAACCTCAACGCTACCCCCTTACATCTGAAACTGCGGCTGCACATCAGAGGGCAGCACCAGTGCGAGGTCGAGCAGCTTGCAGACGGACAAGTATAGGTGGAGCCACTGCGGGTTGTTGTGCGCGTTTAGACCGTTGCCGCTCAGCACCGTCCAGCTGGAGTCTAGTGCACCAAGATTCTTCAGATGCTGCCTGCAAAAAGATCGGTGTCAGTCTAAGTAAAGAGACAGACACTATAGTGGAGAGGGTTACCAGCTTTATTATATATAAAATTAGGTCATATATTTTATATTATATAGTTTAATTTCATATATATTATTGGTTCTTACTACTCGAAAAAGTACTACCGTGTACTTTAACCGAAAAAGGTATGAACTTGTGTGAACTTATAACGAATAACGTATGAAATACATAACAAGTGTTTGCGTTGCTAGTTTAGCTTAGTTTAGTTAATTTAGTAATAGTTTAGTTTAGTTATTTGAACAGTTTATACGTTAGTTATTTTACATTTTGCGGCTTTAAATGATTATCGAAGAATCAATGACAACACTGGAGTAGAGATTTGGCATTTAAGCCAGAATTTCCATTTTGCCTCTCCGGCTTTAACTCACTCACGATCATACGTGCATGCACAGTGGAGCGACAATTTAAGAACAGGGAGACAGTCTAACCATCATTCATATGCAGCGTTCAGCGAACATGCACACAGCCACATAGAAGGCAGCACATGCACGTTTTGCATCTAACATAGGAAGGCTTAACTAGAAAAATATTGCATCGAAAAAGAACACATCTTAAAAAAAAGTGACATGCATAAATGCGCGTCGCAGCTAGATGGCAGCACTTTGCTGAAAGCCGGTAACAAAAGCACATGCTGAGGGGATGATCGAACGGGGGAAACAATGCTGCAAGGTAAACGAAAACAAAACTGTCGCGTAAAACAAGTGAACATGCTGACGTGCGTATTTTTACCTGTTTCCTCGCCTGAAACAACAGAAAGACACGTGAGTGTGTACCGTGGGTTACCGGAGTAAAACAATAGAACAGTACGACATGGTCGTAAGATAACAACAGATCATTTACAAAACATCTGTGTAATCTGTGTTAATCGTCAAATATTGCATTTGAATTGCGCACTACAATGTGTCTTAAATCTTGAATGTGCGACCAGCCATTATGCCTGCTTACAATTTCCCTTCACAGATCGTGCAACAATGTCGCTTTTGTTTAACGATTTCTCGTTATAGATAGCAGAGTGTCACATGTCAACTATCTCACATTCGACTACTATCGTAGGACGGTGCACACCATTTGTTTAGCAATTTCTCGTTATAGATAGCACAACTATGTCACATTCATCTATTATCGTAGGAAGGCACATACTTGAACTCCTCCGTGTCCGTTGACAGCTCTTGCTCCACTTGTAGAAACACATGAACCTGATCGAAATAGAGAGACGATAACGATAAAGATAAAGATAACGATTAAGATAAAGATAACGATTAAGATAAAGATAACGATAACGATAAAGATAAAGATAACGATTAAGATAAAGATAACGATTAAGATAAAGATAACGATAAAGATAAAGATAAAGATAATGATAAAGATAAAGATAACGATAAAGATAAAGATAAAGATAATGATAAAGATAAAGATAACGATAAAAATAAAGATAATGATTAAGATAAAGATAACGATTAAGATAAAGATAACAATAAAGATAAAGATAACGATTAAGATAAAGATAACGATAAAGATAAAGATAACGATAAAGATAAAGGTAACGATACATAGACGGGCGAAAGATCATGCTAAGGTGTGCCTCGGAATGTATACATATATATATATACATTTAACATATACATATATGTATACATATAACAGGGTTTCTTATACATAAGAGGCACAGTGGCGCACCGCCGTTGTCAAATTTAACAACGCCGATGTGAAAATCTTCCTGTATTTATCCGCCGTTGTCAAAATAATGTCAATCCAAAAATAAATGGATCCCCACGTGCTTCTGACTATATACATGGAAAATTGTAATGAAATTCACAGCAACGTTTCTTTATGCGTGCCAGCACACTCCTGTGTCATTCCCGATTGCAGCATTTTCCTTGATTCCGTGAAAGTTTTGCTGTCGCTCCCTCATACCAGCGTGGTGCCCACCCCTACATTATCTACATATACAGCAATAAGCATGCCCACGCGACTGTATTAATCAGTGCATTCGCCGCCCCGCCCGTACTTCAAACAATGCCGCCTCAGCCAGCAAGCACGAGCCACGATGTGCACAGCCACGGACGTGGGTAACAGGGGTGTTGCGGACCGCTTTTTTTCGGGGTTTTTTCTTTTTCGTGAATGCATGAGAATGCGTAAGGCATGCGGGAGTGCGGGAGAATGGGTCCAGATGCGTGAGTCTCCCGCGAAATGCGCCATGGCGCAAAGTGAGACTTGTATGGGGGGGGGGTAGGTCTGCTAACAGAAGTAAGATTTAAACTAAAGGGTGAAATTTTATTTTCGGGGTGCCTCAAATGCAGTCTAAGACATTCAAATTTTTAAAAAGAAGCCAGAACCCTCTACCTCTCTCCCCGCGCGGTCTGCCTGCAGAACTAATTCGTGCCTCCTGCACACTTTGAATCCATCTGTGTCGTTTTTTTTTCCCAAATGGCATTACGCGTTTGTATAATTTCCTCAGAATGAAAGCCCTGACATAAATATATGTTATAATATAATATATAAAATTATTGTTGTCATGGCGACAAGGACACGGCGACACAATCAATCAATCGAGCGCAGGACGGTTGCCACGGCAACGCGCACATCACATTCGGTGATGATGGTCGGCCAGAGGGACGAGTTGCTGTGGCGACATTGCGCAGCAGGAGGATGGCGGAAGCAGAGGAAAACCTGAGCTTGGATGCTCGGCACCTGAGCGATCCGCAGACACTCGGCTAGTCGCTCTGCAGAGAGTAAAAACGAGCGTTACCGGTGGCGACGAAACGGCTTGTACCGGCGGTCGTGATGGTTGTGGAGAAGGCGGTGTGTTGCATTGATCAAGTCATACTTTTGCTGTCTGCAGTGCATCTTCTCCTTCTCTTTCTCTCTCATCTTTCTCGTCTCTCTCTCTCATCTCTGCTCTCTCTCTCTCTCTCCTCTTCCGCTCTCTTTTTCTCTCTCTTTCTCTCTCTCTCCTATCTCTCTCTCGTTCTCTCTTCTTCTGTCTTACTCTCCCCTACTTTCTCTATCGTCTTTCTCATCTCTCTTCTCTCTTCCTTTCCTCTCTCTTCTCGGTCGCTCGTTTCTCTCTCATCTTTCTCTCT